TTATAAAATGGTAAATAACTTGACAATGTTCAATAAAATACAAATAGAGTGTAAATTATTGCATTGGCCATGCTGATTCTCATAATTATCCATAATTATATCTGCACGTTTTTTTCATTTATCAGCATGGCAGATTATCTTTTTTTAAAATGTATATCTAATTTAAGTCTCTTCCTCTTTCACTTCACTTCTCTCTCTCTCTCTCTCTTTCCCTCTCTCTCTCTCTCTCTCTCTCTCTCTCTCTTTACAAATGTATAGGTCAAGCTTTTGTAATATTTACATTAATAATATATATAAACACAAATGAGATAGTAGCAGTGATAAAATAATAATAAATACAACACTACAATAATAATAAACAGTATATTTAACAATCAATATTTTTGGATTAATCTAGAACAATCTAGAACAGGGGTGTCCAAACTCCTGGAGAGGCGGTGTCCTGCAAATTTCAGTTCCAACGCCAATTTAACACACCTGAACCAGCTTATCAAGCTATTCTTGGTATAGAAAAACTTCTAGGCAGGTTTGTTGAAGGAAATTGGTAAAATAAACTAAACTAGTTGCTAAACTAAACCAGTTGCTTAACTCTGCAGGACACCGGCCTTTGGACACTACTGATCTAGAATCTCTCTCTCAATTCAATTTAATTCGAAAGAGCTTTGTAGGCATGACTTCTCAAGTGTTGCAGATTACATAAGCAATAAACAAAATCGTAAACTGATTGTATAACATTTACTTACAGAAAAACAAAACACTATTTGATTTTTGCTAAATACATCTATCTTTCTCTTAAATTTGTTTGCAATTTCTTGACTGTAAAAATAGAATATTGGCAATTATTGAAATATGTGGAAAAATAAACTAATAAGCATGTTTTTAAATTCAAATAAAAAAAGACTGATTACAAATGTTAATGTTTAGTTTTTAGTGTCAAGTAAAACTCATTCTCTTGTATTATGTGTTTGTGATGTTTAAAAGGGATGCTGTAACATTTAGGTGAGACGGATGTAATGTGTGCGACAAATCACGAATGAGGCAGGAATCGATTCTGAATTTAAGCGTTTTACTCAATGGTGTAAGCAAAAGATTTAACAATAATAACTGGGAAAAAATAAACATTTACAATGTTCTCTTAAAACGATAACAATGAGTGTAAGCCAAATCAAAGAAATTAACCAAACAAAACAATCCTTAAGTCTAAAGTCTAAACTATAGGCGATAAAAATAAACAATGAAAATAAAACCGATATCTTCAGTGCACAGCACACGACACCTGAACTAAACTAACTAAACTACGAAACTTAAAATTACACGGCAAAACACGCAAGCTAATCTAACAAAAACAAGCTAAACTAACAACAACCCTATCAAGAATATCATAAGGCTCAATTTAGAATCACACAAAAACTAAATGCTAAATGCTTTATTTACTCAAAGCCAACGAAGTTTAACAAGTGAACTCGAATTACCACAGTAAAACTTACATAAAAAAATTACCAAATATCCTAAGCATGCCAAAAACATGAAAGCGTGGAGCACAAGGGTACGCTGAGGCAAAGTGCACACCACATACTGATATGTCAGAGCTTTAAATCCTTGCGGCTCTTCTGGGGATTGGTGGAACTTAGATCGTCATAACGGTGATAGACAGTTAACTGAACCAATAAGAAACATAAAAGTATAGTGAGAAGCGTTGAGAGGAGGATGAGGGAAGTAAATAAACAAAACTAACATGGAACATAACATCTTGTTTTAAATCATTCCAAAAAACATAGTGACAGATAGTTAAAGTGACTGCTATTATTTTAATAGTAGAGGTGTTTAATATATCCATAACGTCAGATGAGCATTAATCCAGAGGCAACCTTCATCTACTAAAAAGTGGCCACAATTGTGGTTTTCTTGAAGGTTATAGTGTGCCATTTCTCTCAGGACCTGTGGATTCACAATTTCCGGATGAACAAATTGCCCTTTTTTGAGTTGTGTAGTTCAATACGATCTTGTTACGTCTGCTACAAAATAAAAAATAGATGATGGTATCAGCTATGGATATTTTTACTATATCATATCATGGTTATAAATTAGAGTATGTTGGCAGCACTAGTCAGCGTGGAGGTGTCTCTTATCGTCAGAGTGTTTGGGTGTTTGTTTCCACCTGCTGTGACCTCAGAGCCGTGTTCGTCATTACTGTGGGCGGGACACACACACACACAGACTCCTGAGAGTAACACTGGGTGGAGAAACCCGTGTGGGCGTCTGTAGGTTGGTGTCAGTGGCTTTTCTAGCTGCAACAGAATACGTGCAGACGGCTTTCCTATGCTCACTTTATCTTAACTTGCTAATAAATATGGAGGCCTGCCCTATTAAACATGTGTAATGTTTATTATACATGTGTGTATTGAAAAAAACCTATTCAAAGATGATTCCTAGGATTTACTTTTTTTTTTTTTAGTTAAGTGGTTGTAAACAAATAATTTGGGTTGAATTTAAACAAACAAATTAAGTTAAACATTACAAAATTTAATTTGTTTGTTTAAATTCAGCACATAAATTGTTTGCAATTTTGCCGACATCAGTTTTTCAGTGTACAATAGTGCACAAAATATAAAGATGAATAGATAAACAACTTATTTCTAAATGACATTTATTTATTTATTTATTTATTTATTTATTCATTTATTTATTTATTTATTTATTTATTTATTTATTTATTTATTTTGTTAAATTACACTGTTGTTGTTTTAGGACAGCACAATACACTAAAAAAACAGTAGATTAACCAATTTCCGTATTTTGTGATTCCTGTTTTTATTTATTTATATTATTATTATTATTATTATTATTATTATTATTATTATTATTATTAATATTTGCATTGTGGGGCCTTAATCTTTTCTTTTGAACAACCTTTGATGTTATGATGTGATATATTGTCTGGTTTGGTGTTTCAAATTATGATTAAAAAAAAAGCCTGGTAATAAACTGCCAGCGCATTTTACAGACTTAATTATTACACAAGATATTGATTCGAAGCACTAAAACTTTAGTAATAGTCATTTCAATGAAATGTACTGTTGATTGTGCATCATCAAAAGTCGACAGAGCAGAGATCAACACCCCATAATACAATTCACAACCGTAAATAACCACAAAAAAAATGTAAATCATGAAATATGAAACCTGTCAATTAACAGATTTTTTACAGTGTATCTACAGACAGTATTTCCTCAAAATAGAACCACAAGTGGACACATTGTGTTTTATCCCATAGTACACAGTCGGTGACATATTGTCATCACAATACATACAATACCATAAACTTATTTATTTGTGGTTTTATTACAATTTTACATGAATATATGACTTTAAAAACTTTAGAACATGTTCTTTAATATTTAATATTTAATATTTTTGTTATCAGACAATAATTAGGGCTGTACGATATAGGAAAAATCTAGCATTATGATATATTTTTTAAAAATTTTGCCATATTGACCTTATTCTAAAATGCGGAAGTGCGCCTGTTTTCGCAATTGTTTTAGAACTTCCGATTCAGTTGCCTATGGGAGAAATGACTAGGAATAATAAACGGAAAACGGTCAAACTACTTGCTTCACAAACAAATGTTTGCATGACTATACAGGCCAAGTAGAATAATATAATAAGAAAATATCAGTTTGCAACATCAAACAGCAAAACGAGCAGCTTTAATGTCTAAAAATGAATGGAAGTGAATGAGACCGGAAGTCTCGAGCCAAAAATATTCAAATGGCTGCGCCTGCTCGTCGGCGAAGAATAAGGTGAATACATTGCAATATAAATACAATTTCACCAGATAACTTGAATATCTCTATTTCGAAAGAAGTTATAATGTTATCTAAATAAAATATAATAATAAAATATTCACCAATAATAAAATTTAATAAGCAATCTATACAATTTTTGAGGTCCCCCAACACATTTTCAATATAGTCTGTGCTATTTGTAGTGCATTTCTGTATTTGCATGTGTTGTATTTTCTTGCATAACAAACTATTAATATAATAAAGAAAAAGATACAATTGAAAAAGTGGTTTATCATTTTCCGAGTCTAACAGTGTTTAAGTACAGTAACTGAATGATAAAAATAACAGTAATTCAATAAAATTAATTGTTGTTAAAGTAATTATTCAATGTATTATGCCTGAATGCTTTTAAGATCAATATACAATAACAGGCATCACAAATGCATGCAAATGAAGAATTGTAATACAAATTCAACATTGCGTATGCTCGCAATGTGACTATTGCGAGTGATCACATTGCAATATCGATGCTCATTTAATATTGTGTGCAGCCCTACCAAAAAGGCACCACAATAAATAAACTTGACGATTTAAGTATTTTTAATAACCATAAAAAGTACCATAACATATAAATTGATATGTATTTCATTTGCATAAATTGAATATGCATATTTCCCAGTGATGGGTTGCAGCTGAATATCATTATCATTAAATATCATTGTATTAAAGTAGAAAAGTATAAGTTTACGTATTTCATATATTATAAACATTAAATTTTAAATAAAGAATCATAAGTCTAAGGCACTCTTAAAGTAGTTGACGTAGTTTATTTTTTTTAGTGCCTTGTACTGTGTGTTTCTTTATGTTTCCCTTGTCCAAAGAGCACCGTCATTTTGTTTGATTCTGGATTTAATTATAGATCTGTTACATTTTACATTGTGTCAATGACTATGTTAAGTATGCGTTATCTACATGAAATCGAAGTCATGTTATAAACAAAAGTTGTTCAAGCATGTCAGCTATTTTTGAACAAACTGAATTAGTTTTCATTCTTGTATCTGTTTCGTGTTCTTCTCCCTCTTCCTCTTTCCTCCTCATTCAGCTCATTCACATGACTGGCTTTCTGTGTTTTGACACACAGGTGACATCCAAGATTCTTATTGTGTCTAATATGTTTTTTTATTTTTTTTTATTGTGTGTGTGTGTCCACAGTTCCCCGTGAGCAGCTGCTACAGACTGAAGAGTATGATCTGAATGTGGTGCGTCTGTGCTTCCAGATTTACCTGCAGGATGAGAGCGGGATGTACAGCACCATGCTGCCTCCCATCGTTTCCAACCCCATCTATGACAACAGTGAGTTGGCACACAGTATTAAGGATCAAAATCACATTTTTCTGAGTGTTTGTATCATTAGGATTGTCTCAATGTTTTCCTTAAGCTAGTGTGCTCCAATACAATAAGACAATTTGGATTTAGAAGATATTAGCATTCAAAACTTGCAGCATTTCACCTCTGCCAATAAGAATCAATGAATTTCATGATTAGCTCTTCTGACCAATCAAATGCTCTGAAATGCCCCTCCTCCAAAAAGGCATGGCGCACTTACTTTTTTAAAATTTGTGGCTAGAATCTGGGTATGTATTTGGCGCTTTTTGCATTAGATTTATTATGTTGGTTTGTTTGAATACAATTTTTAAAAAATGTAATACAGTATTTTACTGTACTGCAATATTAATGTTCATTTTAAAATATTTTTTAGTAAAGTTAAGTTCAGTAAAGCTTTTTTTCAGTGTGAATATGCATGTACAGTTAAAGACCATATTACTAGCCCTCCTTTAAAGCTGTATTATTTAAAAATATTTCTTAAGTGATGTTTAACCGAGAGAAGCTTTTTTTTTTAAACCCTTTTTATTTTAAATATAATATTTTAAGAACTTATTTTTTAAAACTTATGACATTTTTATTATTTTGCAAGATGCTACTGTGACAGATGTTAGAGCAACCAACTCCCATACAAAGAATCGCCGGTTGGATCCCAACTTAGACTGGGTTGGGTGCAGTAGGACCAGTGGGTTAAATGTGGGGGCTCGTCCGGGATGGGAGTGAGGTTTAGGTGGGTTAGTGTAACAGAGATCAGCTAGCGTAATGCTATGCAGGTAAACCTCCCTCCTCTGACCTCAAAAGGTGCTCTAGTGAAAGACTCTAGAGGCCATGGCCTTTAGCCTCCTTGTTAGAACAACCGACTCCAATACAATGAATCACTGGTTCGATCCCAGCTCAGACCTGGTTGGGTACATTAGGACCTGTGGGTTACACGTGGGGGCTCTTCCGGGTTGGGAATGAAGTTTAGAGGGGTGAGTGTAACAGAGACCAGCTAGCAAAATGCCATGCAGGTAAACAAAAAAACGCCAGTTCGATGCCAGCTCAGACCGGATTGGGTGCGGTAGGACCAAGCGGCAACCTCCCGCTCTCCCTCAGGAAGCAAATACGGAAGTAACTAAAACTGCAATTCATCCGAAATTCCGCTAGTCCTGGCCGCTCCTGGCTCCAAAATAGAGCAAATTTCAATTGAGCCCACTTTTAGAATGGCCAACTTTACAGCAGAAAAAAAAGTGTTTACAGCCTGGTACAAAAAAAGATTTTGGTTAAAACAGCTAATATTACCCTTCATGACAACTGTGGGGGGGGGGGTGAATTTTTTTTATAACTCATCCGTTTCCTTTATATTAAGTTATATTAAGTTTGCATAATTAAGGGAGTGGCCACTTGAGTGACAGCTAGGTCTTGTTGCTCGCCGTCACGTCACCTCAGCTGAATCCTGCAGATTAGCCACTGATCTCGGCATATTTATCATATTTCTGTGTTGTTTTATGTGGCTTTACACAGTCAACTGCCTTTTGGACTTGTTTCCTACAATTATTAGATGGCATGGCATGCTGAGTGCACTTAATTGTGCTCACAAACTATTCACGTGGCCTCCATTTCCTATGTGAGTAAAGTTATATACTTATATACCATCTCTATAGATGTATTTGTTTTAAGATCATTTATCGTTTATATTTATATTAAGAGCTGTAATGGACTCCAGAATCTGACGGATTGATTATCTGTAGGCTCTAGAACGGTCATCTGAAGCATTGTCATACAGTGTTATGCTGGATTTCATCAATAGTCTTACATTAACTAACACAGACTATATCTGAAGTGTTTGGAAGTAATTCGCGTTTTCCACCTGTTGAAAAACGTCATAAGAACAATACTTAGTGGCTCAATGTATTACAGCAGTGTTTTTAAAAGACTAAACACTTTATTGATATAGTGTACAACCAAGCACAAGTGGTCATAATACAAACGAGTCACAGGTGATAAAGTATTAGGCGTTCTCCCAAAGTAAAGTGTGTCTGAGCCAGGTCCAAGCAAAATGCCAGCACGTGTCTGTAGCTCCGCTCACTCTCCGCCTCTTTGCCCTTGTTTGGTATCCCGCCGTGGGTGTGATGACGCGCGAACAAAATGGCGACGGGTGGCCGCGCCTACTTGTGGCTTCTTTTGCGCTCTTTAGAAACCTATAGGTGATGTCACGGATACTACGTCCATATATTTTACAGTCTATGGGTAGGACTAGTGGGTAACACGAGTATTCAGCTTTAGGTACAATTAGAAAGCTTAACTAGGTTAACTAGGCAGGTTAAGTAGCCACATGAGTAGCCAATTTATAACAGCAAATTTGTTTTCTTTACTTTTTTTTCAAGCCAAACTAAAAGAAACAGGATTTAATCCAGAAGTAAATCACTTGGAGAATATTTGAACATTATTTCACTGTATTTAAAAGTTCACTGTATTTACAATATTAATTACAATTTTAACTGTATTTTGCATGAAGTACTATAATTTACTGTGGGAGAAAAATGACAACAAATTACTCTCCATATATTAAAATATAGGTACTATAAAGGAATATCATTACATTAAAGTAACTATTTAATATATCTTACTCATGTTTGTCTTGTTGTGTTTTTATGTTGCTTTTAATTGACTTATTTGTCCAAAAACATATTTTGTTGTATTATAATCGTAGTTATTTTAGTAACTTTAAAGCTAAGTGACAATTTACTACAAGCTAAAAGTTTTCTGTGCCATTTTATAGACATATAAATCATACAGATCCCAATTCCCAACGCAAACATACAGAATGTCACTACTAGCATAGCAGAGAGCAGGAAGATCTTTTGTGGCAATGCACTGCTGTGTGACAGAGCTGACAGTGGCCACATCCCACACTACAGGAAGTAAATATGGTCCATTTCAACACTTCCTCACGTGACGGTGGTGTTCAGCACAACAGCAGTGCATTCACAGAGTTTTTGTGCGGTTTTGCGATGCTAAAGAAGTAAAAAAAACTAAGGTCATAAAATCTTTCATCCACACATAAAGGCTGATTCTCATTCATTTCTAAAGACACTGCAGTAAAAACATGAGCTTGAAAACATGCAGACGCTCCAAATTTTAAACTAATAATCTCGTTTAACCTAGAAAAGAGGAAGTAAACATCTTCACCCTCACTGTCTAAATCATGACAGGTTTGACTGCTTTTTCAGTGTAAGGACACAATGTTTGCAAGCGTGCCTGCAGATACTCTGATAAAGTCAAAGAATGCGAGCGATTATTTCCTCAGGCGCATTTTGTCTGTGTTTCAAGTTGCTTAAGACTTTCTAATCTTCAATCTGATTGGCTTGTGCTGTTTTTCAGGGGCCCCGAACACAGCCGAACTGCGGATCTGCCGGGTGAACAAGAATAGCGGCAGTGTAAAGGGAGGCGATGAGATTTTCCTGCTCTGCGATAAAGTGCAGAAAGGTACGCTTTTAAGTCTTTGGAGTAACTTGAGGCGCTTGAAGGCATTTCAGTCATTTTGGTATTACTTGTTTAAGAACAACCTTGTTTGTACATTCTGTACAACATCTCACTGAAAAGTAGGTCCACAAACTCAAACACTCAAAAGACACTACAAAATCTGAGTGGCTGCAAAAATAAAAATCAGCCACTTGAGTTTTTTGGGGGTTCACAAAGTCTAGATCTGACACAGAAAAGGGTGTGGAATGTATTTTTACATGATATTCCATCCAAAATTGCTTATTGCACCCTTTGTAAAAGACAATGAATGAAAATTATTTTCAATTTAACTCATAATTTAATAATTCTTTCTCATATGTTAATTTTTCATGTTCATAATTTTTAAATAAATTTTATTATATTTATATATCTATCTATATATATATATTACATGATATTCCATCCAAAATCGCTTATTGCAACCTCAATAAAGGCCAATGAATAAAAAAATATTTTCATTTTGATTAACTTTTTAATAATTTAATCTCATATGTTCATTTTTCATATTCATCATTTATTTTTATCTATTTATTTTATTATTACTTTATATTATTTTATATATTGATTTATATTTTTACATGATATTCCATCCAAAATTGCTTTTTGCATGCTTAGTAAAAGACAATGAATAAAAAATAATTTTCATTTTGATTAAATATTTTATAATCCAATCTCATATGTTCATTTTCATCATTTATTTATTAATTTTTTTCGTTTATTTATTTGTTTGTGATTTTATTGTTTTAATATATTTTCCTACATTATATTCTATCTAAAATTGCTTATTGCACTCTTAATAAAAGTCAATGAATGAAAAATGATTTTCAATTTGATTAATTATTTAATATTTATATCTCATATGTTCATTTTTCATACTCATCATTTAAGTTTTTTTTTTTTAAACAGACATTTAACTGACTAAAAGAAACTTTGCAAGTACATGTCAACTTACACTAACCCTAACCCCAACCTAACAGTATACTTATAACCAAATGAGAATTAGTTGGCATGTAACTTAAATTTAACAAATGGACCATCAAAATAAAGTGTGACCAATTATTTTACATGTTTTTAATATATTTTACATGATATTTCATCCAAAATTACTTATTACACCCTTAATAAAAGACAATTAATGATAAATCATTTGCCATTTAATAATTCAATCTTATATGTTCATTTTTCAAATTGATCATGATTCATTTAATATTTTATTTTATTTTAGTTCCTCTGTTAGTCTACTCTTTTGTTTGTTGATTTCAGAATTGACCAGTCATTTCATTTCCATTTATTCAAAATTAACTTCATTTTCATTCTTAGTTTTTTTTTCATGCCATTTTTTTCATTTAACCCATTCCTCACACCATCACATGATCTTACTCTAGATGACATCGAGGTGCGGTTCTTCACTCAGACCTGGGAGGCCAAAGGCTCTTTCTCTCAGGCAGATGTGCACAGACAAGTGGCCATAGTGTTCAAGACCCCTGCTTACTGTGACACCAGCATCACTGCTCCGGTCACTGTGCGCATGCAGCTGCGCCGACCCACAGACCAGGAGGTCAGTGAGCCCATGGAGTTCAGATACCTGCCTGATGACAAAGGTAAATAATAATAAGAAGAATATTTTTTACACTTATTATTTATTGGATTGTTTGCTTTTGCTTCATGACAAATAAGATGTCACAATTTTACAATGGCAAATAAGTGATGAAATGAAGTTTAAAAACACATGCTTCATAGAAATGTGATTTCAAACAATGCCATGATCGCATTTTCTTATAGTTCTTATCAATATTTGCTATTAACAAATTATTAACTATGACTAACACCTCAAACGAATAATGTGCTGCTTATTAATAGTTAATAATACAGTAGTAATAAACTATATACTTTAAATACTTTTTTTTATTTAGTAGTATTAGGAATGTAGAACAAGATTATGCAGAATATGTACTTTATAAGTACTAATAAACAGCCAATATGTTAATAAGAGACATACAAATATGCTAGTTGATTGTAAAAAATGGTCAAAATCTTTTAGATGTGGTATTAAAATGCTTATTTTGTCAACTGAATCATAAAAACCAGGCCACTTCGAGAGATAGATGTGTTTCAAAATGCTTTTAATTGGATCCTTGTTGGAGAGTAATGGGTTTGAACAACCAAAAAAATACCACCAACTGGTACATCTGCCTACTGCTGGATTTTTTTATTTTTCATTATAGGACATGTTGTTTAATTGTGCTTGCCAGACGGGATTTGTTTGAAATCATGTTTAGTTTAAAGGTGAAAATGAACAGCAACTATGTTAACCAAAAAAAACACCATACTGTATGTAAACGGGAATATGTATCCTTCTTATGATCAGATTTGCTAAAAACACAATTTAAAGGGGACCTATTATGCAAAAATCACTTTTTAGGGATTCAAACACAATACTGTAGCAACAGTCTGCGAATATGACCAGCTTTTAATAGTAACATTTATTATTTTTTAAATATATAATCACACTTCATAAAAACAGTCAGCAGAAACACTTTGTTTGACATTCTCACTTCGTACATGTTATCAGAAGGGGAAATCCCCACCCATTAGTGAAAATCTCTCCCTTATTAGCATAGGACATTAGTCTTCATTTTTGAATCTGCCACCATGCAGACGCATAGGCATATATAGCTCCTCCCTCTTTTACAAGCTCATTTGAATTTAAAGCCACAACCACCAAAATGGTCCAATTTGAATCAAAGGGGGCGGTTTCAACGAGTTCTAAATAATTATTTGTGTGGTATTTTGAGCTGAAACTTTACCTACACACTCTAAGGACAACAGAAACATATTTTAATTCTTTTAAAGAGCATAATAGGTCACCTTTAATATAAATACTATTAAGTATACATGTCATTTTTTCCTTTTACATAAAATTTCAAATTATGAATATAAATATCACAAAATTTTTGTAGTTTTTACCATACTTACAAAACAAAGTGTATTTTTATGCACAAATATTATATATTTGTAAACATTTTAAATACATGAATCCCATTAGTTTTAGAGAAATATGTGTGTATATATATATATATATATATATATATATATATATATATATATATATATTTTTTTTTTTTTTTTTTTTTTTTAGGTTAAATGATCTTTAAAGTGTAACCGTTTGAATATACTTGAACATTTGTACTTTTTTAGATCCCTACGGCTGTCGTGAGAAGAAACGTAAAATCGACATGCAGATGAAATCCTCCTTCCCAAGCTTCTCCCAGGAAGCCATGAGCTTCATGAACAGAACAAAAGCCGTGTCTTCAACCAACTTGATGAATCAGAGAATCAAAACCGGTGAGACAACACAACAGCCATTACCAAATAACTGCACACACTCTTCATACAAACAATATCACTATATAACATGACAAAATCTTCTTGCAGAGCCACCAAATTTTTATCGCCCACCAAACCAAGGGGTGGCCCGCCAAAATCAGCCAGTCTATTATAACAAAGGCCTTCGGTCCTGCCCTATGATGCCACATCCATCAGAAACCACGACACAAGGAGCTCTAAGCCAGTGGACCAGTCAAGTCACCAACACTTCTGTGCCCAATAATGTTGTAAGTCTACAGCAGGTGAACCCAAGTCCCAACATGCCAAGTGCAGGGGAAAATGGAAACAGCCTTCCTCTGTTGACCTCGATGGATCTGGAGATTCTTCAACCCAACGGACCAACCGGCAACCAGCCTCGACAGGACCTACTAAACCAGCAGGTTCAGCAATCCCAACAGCCACCACAAAGACAAGGACAGGAAGGAGCCTGGTATAACTACAGCTCCCAACAGCCTCAAAACACACAAAATGGAGCATCAGGCGCTAGTGGGTCACTAGCAACGGGCTACCAGTTTACAAGCGGCTTAGAGGATGATATCTTGCAAAGTCTCATGGGTAATCATCAACCAGGCATCCAGTTGAAACAGGAACCTCAAGGGCTGAGCAACATGGCTCCATTGGTCAACTCGGATTGTGTACAGTCCTTCACAGCCCTCCTAAACTGCAACAATGGAAGTACTCCAGAACACATGAGACAAATAGACCCCAATGGCGCCAATCAGAGGGTCTCGCAGATACAGTATCCTTCTGGAAATATGGGGCAGGAGAGCCATCTTGAGCATTACACCTGGCACTTTCCCGAATAGAGTTGAAGATTTTTCTCGGTCTTTAAGCGTAGGCCACGGTTTATGTTCACTGAATGTATTTTTGATTAAAGATCTGGAGGGTTTGTTGTGTAGGGATTACTGTAAATGCTGATTCACACCGCACTGATAGATGACGATATACAGACAGGACAATCAAAAGAGATTACAGTACATCACTATTTGACCCTATAGATGCCATGAGAAATCATGGAAATGATTGCTGACAAGAGAAAATGTGCTGATCCACAAAAAAAAAAAAAAAAAAAAAACTGTCAATGCGGTAAGAGTTGGCTTTAACATGGTGCCAAAGTTTGCTTAAACTTTGAGATTTTATGAAACATTTATGTATATAACAGTCTGATGGTCATACTGGAGAGGTTTGGGATTGACTCAAATGCTTATGTATGGCAGGGTAATGTGTTCCTTAGCATGGGAACTAACAGGGAGTTTATCCCTGGGTAATGGCTATGTCATTTTAACCATATCCAAGGTTCTCAGATGTACTTTTCAAACAAGGTTTTCTTCGGTAACTCGAAAGTGAGAGTTTTTGAAAAAAAAATGTGTCTCATTCATACCGGTGTCTCATTCTGTTTGTACTTCATTCAACATACACTTAAGAGGTTTGTTTTTATGTCATCAGTGGTGGATTTTTGTATTTTTATAAAGTTTATACTACTGAAGGTGGATTTTATGATTTTCGTGTATGTATTCGTTCTTTGATAATCTGTTTTTCGTTCCTCAGTTCAGGTGAATAAAATATTAAATGCTGTAATTTGGTTTGCATGTTTGTTTTTTCATAAGAAAGAAAGAGAGCCTAGAGATATCATTATTTTCAGCTTTTATATTTCTGAACTCGCTGACATGCAATGATGATGCAACTGGTTTGTGCTCATGATATAGCATTGAGTCATTCAAGCAGTCTCGACACTCAGCAGTGCTAAATGTAATGCATAGAAACACACTGTTGTATTACGAAGTTACTTAACTGGTTTTGAAACATGGGAAAGTTTTACTTCATGATCCACATTTTTGAATCACTCCATTTCCACTATTTGGAAATGTATGCTTTTACTTTTTGTTTCTCTTTTTGTCATCTGTAGCAGTACAAAACAATTATATTTTTAGATTTAGGCAGGGGCATCGCTAGACCCCATTTACTGGGACACGTCCCCCAGTAAAAATCACCAGTGCACCAATAAATGCTTTGAGACACGATTTACTTTATATGCAAGTGTATTTAGCTGCTCTGCTCCCGGTCCGGTTGTGAACATGCACGCCGAAAAAATAGCCGCGCCACTCTTGCGTTGTGAAACCAGCATAACAGTCTTATTTGGAGGTGTCGCACGCAGTGAGTTTTGCAAGTAGACAAAACAAAGTATAAATAATACGATGGTGATGGCTTCTGATAGATTATTATTTTTATTTTTTTGTATGAAGCGGAAAGGATGGATATTTTTTGTACTTGAATGAATGGTCTATAGAATTTCATTCTAATGAAATTAATATTCATGCGAAAGATTTCTTAAACTATCTCATAACTCCAGTTGTGTCATTAGATTGTTTTCCAGTTACATTTAGGATTAATTCCTGTTGTTTATTTAGAATAATAATTGCATATTAACAATATTACTGTTATTTATGTATAAATATATATAATTTTTTGTATATATAATTTTTTATATTTATAATTTTTTTATATATATATATATATATATATATATATATATATTTTTTTTTTTTTTTTTGGAGGGGGTGCTGTGCCCCAGTAGAGCTTTATGTCTAGCAACGCCAGGAGTCAGGAGATATTGCTGTCTCTACCGGTTAAAGAGCTTGGTAAAATAAGCGTAATGAATTATGATTTTCCCCACAGGGTAAAATAAGGATGTTTTATTCTTCTTATACTTCAAAGTATGGGTTCAGAAGATTTCTCAGAAAAAAAAGGACTTTTCTTGAGCTCATCAAGGATGCATTCATTTTATATGATAACATATACACTACCTGACAAAAGTCTTGTTGTCTATCCAAGTTTTAGGAACAACAAAAAATAACTTGACTTGTAGTTGATCATTTGGTATCAGAAATGGCTTATATGAAAGGCAAAGGTCTCTAGATTACGCTTGTTACCAAAATAAAATATGATCATGCCTTGATTTTTAATCATTTAATTAGGCCAGTAACGTCTTCTGACTTTACTCTGACTGGCTTAGAGATGAACTTGGACGACTGCATCCATGCATCTCTGCAATGACTCAAATAACTCAATAAATTTATCTGGAATGGCAAAGAAAGCGTTCTTGCAGGAGTTCATCAAGATTTTTTTGATTCATCATCAATGCCTCCTCCTTCAACTTACCCCAGACATGCTTAATAATGTTCATTTCTGGTGACTGGGCTGGCCAATCATGGAGCCTCTTGACCTTCTTTGCTTTCAGGAACTTTGATGCGGAGACTGAAGTATGAGATGGAGCGCTATCCTGCTGAAGAATTTGCCCTCTCCTGTGGTTTCTAATATAATGATGTAATGGGCAGCGCAAATGTCTTGATACCTAAAGCAGGTCGCACACCAGAAGCGCCGCTCGGCGGTGCCGCGCAGCACCACGCAGCGCCATGCATTTTAGAATTCTAAACATAGGTTTCTATCACGATACACACACCGGCGCCGCAAGTCAGCGGCTGTCGGCGGCGCCCGGCCACGGCTCAGGACGCAGTTAATTTTTCAGCTGCGCCACAAAGCGCCATCTGATTAGTTTCATGTTAAATATCATTCGAATTTGCGCGTCTGGTGTGTGATACTTTGAACTGTCATGTGCGAGTGGCGCTTCTGGTGTGCGACCTGCTTCAGGCTGTTGATGTTGCCATCCACTTTGGCAACCCCAAACCATGATTTTTTCTTCACTTAACTTGACTGATTTCTATTAGAATCTTGGTTCCATGTGGGTTCCAGTATAGGTCTTCTGTAGTATTTGTGATGTAGTTCAATCTACCTTCTGCAACTTTTCTAAATTATCAACTTGAAGTCAGGTTACTATCTGTTGCTCTTACAACTGGGATAGACGACAAGACTTTAGTCCGGTAGTGTACAAGTTAAATCATAAGATATTATTATAATTGAAAATAACGGTTTATGTTTTAACATATCAGGAAATGTAATTTATTCCTGTGATAGTTTACAGCATCATTATTTTAGTCAGTGTCATGTGATCCTTCATTAATCCTTCATTCAGCATTTTAAAAAAGGAATCCTGAAAATGATGCTCAATAGATTTTGGGGGAAATTACTTTCACTATTAGAAATTAGTTTTGATCTAAACTGTTTTTGACATTCCAGTACTTTCCAAATTTAGACCATCTCTGGGAAAACGACTTAACATTGAACATGCATAACCAAGCATTTAGGTTTAAAAAAACAACCTAGTGAGTTTCTAGTGAGTGGTTTCTGGTAAATAATGCTTTCAAATCACTTTTTAAGAGCTCCATCTCTGCTCTGACAACTGATAAATTCTAACAATGAATACAAACAATTCTAAAAATAAAATGTAAACAAATCCTTAACATAACAGAAAATGCAATACCTTCATACATGTTTTTGTACCATAGTATCCAAGACTATAAAAGTCACAAACTTTTCAACATCAAAGGTTCTTAAAGCAGAGATGGAGTTTCCATAATGCAATTCAAAAGCAAAAATAAACAAAAAATCAGCCCTAAATAACCAAATTCCACATGGTAATTGATGCATTCTGTACATTGTAGAAGACACACTTTCTAAATAACCCTAAATCAGTGTTTTTCAACCACATTTCTGGAGGACCACTGCATGTTTTAGATGTCTCCTTTGTCTGTTACACCCATTACAGGTCTTTCGGTCTTTGTTGAAAAAGGAAAATGTGCGAAACTGGTGGTCCTCCAGCAACGTGGTTGAGAAACACAGCTCTAAATGAACAAGCATAAGATTTTTTTAAGCATGATGGTATCAACAGCATTTATGCTAACACAGACTGTTTTGTACAGTCTAGTTATAGTGAGTCAGCAGTGGGATTAATACATTAATTAGCACCAGAGTAAATCTGTATCCTTGAATCTTACACACACACAAACACAAAACTGCAGCAATCCTCAAGCCAAATATGAGTCATTACCTTTTAGCTACACATTTATATTTGCGTCAACAAATGGAGTTTAGAATAATCGCATTATTTATTCCTATAACACCAACATGATTTCTTGAAATTGTGTGGTTTATAGCCTGTTTGAACCAGAAGCAACAAGGGCTTTTTTCCCTATAAAGACGTCAATACCTGTGAATACAGGACACGCTCAAAGACAAGACTCTTCTTAAGCTCTTATCTGGAAGAAATGCCGTAGAAAAGTGTGGCTTCCTGTCTGTTTGAAGAAACCGACAATACAGCTCCTAAACAGAAACCACAATCCAGTCATACTCATTAGTTTGTAATAAGTCGTTGCTTGTTATTTTTGAAATATATTAATAATATATATATTATTGTGGGCAAAGGTGACAGTTTAATGACTCAGTTAAGTTACTTTCATCTAAGACATGATGATGTCTGCAGCTACCAAAACGAGATAATAATCATGGATCTGAGGGGAAACACTTGAAATGAAATAAGTGACGTTTGTTTGATTTACCTTCCTAAAACTAATAAAGAAAATAATGAAGAAAATGCTAGTCATTAGCAACTAATATTTGCAATTCATATATATATATATATATATATATATATATATATATATATATATATATATATATATATATATATATATATATATATATATAATTTATATATATATATATATTTTTTTTTTTTTTTTTAATCTGACATTCTTGTAAACATTATGTAAGAAAAACACTTAATTTTTAGGATTTTAGACATGTAACTACTTTGTACATTTTGACATATTTATAGAGAGAATGAAAATGAGCACAGATGTAAAAGGATTGGATCAATTCGTTCATTCATTCATTTATTTCAGTGTTGGCTTACGTAATAATATTATTTTAATGATATTACTAAAATTATGAGTAAAGTAACTCATTACTTTAACAAAAATAAGTAATAGTATTTAAGTTACTTTTTTAAATGTAACTCGAGTAACTTTTTAGATGAATTATTAAGCTTTGAAAAGTAGTTTACTAAATTAAAATTAGTGTATTCACGTTGAATCACACTCAATAAGGACATGAGCTTCCACCAGGAACAGATGGCAGAGCCTTAAATTTCTGTGAA